AATTTATTGTAACCTGAAATTTTTCAATGTCAAGGTCGCCCACAGACTGACCACTGGACGGTGCAGCACTGGTCAGAGCAACTGGAAAAGTTATCAGCTGCACAGCTAGAGAACCAAACAATAAAAAAAAAGCTGGTCAGAGCACCGAAAAGTAATTAAGTGGGGCTACCAAATGTTTTTAAGTTTCCCGGTTTGTTAATTAATAATCTTTGTGTCTCTTTCTCTTTTGCCACATACTTATAAGCTTCGCTAGTTTTATGAACATGAGAAATTTATTAATTTAAAACACATTCGATTAAAAACAAAAAATGAATTTGTGGAGCTATCAGCCTTACAAAAATTAAAAAATTTCATTTTAAAGCAAGTTTTATAAGAGAGTTTCATTAGAAAAATTAAAAAATTCTTTTTTTTTTGAAAAATCTTATTTTATGAAAATTTCAGTTTTTTTGAAATAAAAAATATTTTCTTGTAAGTTTTATAATCTTGGCATTGATGTAGTTTAAGAGCTTCTTCATTTGTCTCTGTTTGAATCTCTCTGATCCGTACAATTCTATATTGCTCTTCAAGCAGATTCTTCTACCTCACTGACGGTCTTTCCTATTAGGGCATCCTAGGTGTTTTTAGAATTTCTGGACTCTGTGTATGCTCAGTATTCTATATTCTGCTCTGGATGAGTATATCAGTTGTGGAAGTTCGGTAATTGAAACGGAAGAGCGTTTCCAAACTGATGAAATGTTTTTTTTTTTTTCATATACCATGGGGATAAGTTCAGTCAGTGAACTGTAATTTTTCCAAACAGGATCCTGGCTGCTTCCCATGCTTGATTCATTGATTTGACGTAGCTGATTTATTTCATGAGGGTGAATTTCTCGGATCTGTAGGATTTATTTTTGCGCATTCAGTTTTGCAAAGGTGTTTGAGTAGTCCTCATAGCATTAATCATTTCGATCAATCACTCACTTTTTATGCTGAATTTTTTCTAAAAACTGAGCATTTTTCCCTGGAGACTGAATATTTTTCGCGCAAATTGCTTTTCGATGTTGATAATATACTTCAAATCTAGAAATTTGTTTCCCTCGGCTCTTTTTTTTCAGATTAATGAACGAACTTGCCTAACTGATTCATTAATTTGGTCGCATTTTATGAATTAGTTGAAAAAAATACTTGAAGTGAGATAATGAATTTAAGAAGTCTGAAAATTGGTGAAAAGTGAACGAAGTGTGGAATGAGGAAAGAGGGAGAGGAGCAAATAGGGTCGTGAAGGAGAGGTTGATAAATGGTAATCATGCCTTTTTCACAGAACCGGTCATTTTGAATTTATCTAATTATATAGGCGCCCATTGAAGAAAGTGCGAAACATTCTGAATTGTTCGGAATTTGTTAAAACACATAAATCCAGAAATTTCATTATTTGGTATTTACGCAAACCCCCAAGATGGAGAGTGTGTTAGCGTTGTTACTGGGATGTTCCTACACGCTGAGCGCATCTTTGCCAGACTTTTCGATCCTGAGCGACTGCGTACCTCCGGATAATACCCACCGCTTGTCGATGTATGTGCGCCATCTCTGGAAGTGCAGTTTTCAGTAATTCAGATAACTTTCTCTGTTTTTCATCTCTGCAATTGTCCATGAGAGACAATGCATTGAATTTTTAAGCAAAACTACTTGAGCTGCCAAAAAAAAACCGAAAGCGCATTTCGAG